TGAGGCCTGAGCACCCAGGAATCCAGACTGCCGTCTCTGCCTCTGGACTGCACACTGGCCTGCAGACCTGGGACAGAGGCTTTCGCGAGTTGTGTGTTATTTAACAGAAACCCAACAGTTCCACCCAAACCTCCAAACACATTCTCAGGCTTGGGAAGTATCTCAAATCCCCAAGGGGGTGAGACACACGCCTAGAAAAATGACAGTAAGCATACTTACCTGTCTTCATGCGCCCACATACAAGGTGCACCCAGAATACCCTTATGTTCCCAGCACTAACGAAGCTAATGATCAACAGCTATTTGTTCCCAAATAATTTTCCCTTGAGCAGCCGCAGCCTGGAGGAAGCAGGTGTGTGCTCTGTCTGTCGGCGGCAGCAGTGAGGGGTGGCGCTAAGTGTCCGCTTCTCTCATTCAGCTGCTTCGGGGAAAACTGGAAAGATCCTTTGAGCTCACGGCCCCCTGCTCAGTCCTTGGCTCCCAAAGCTGCCCCCAGAGAGAAGCTGCAGGAGGCATCCTGAACCTACGGGCCTGTGTGCCCAGCCACCCACAGCGTGTACAACAGCGGCCTTCTAGTCCTAGCGGGCACCATTCATGGGCCTGCCCGGGGCAAGGGCACTGTGAACAGCGTGTGCCCTCACTCAGGGCCCTCCCAGCACCACGCTTCCCAGCGTGCAGGGTCCCGATGCGTGTGCCCTCACTCAAGGCCCTCCCGGCACCACACTTCCTGGTGTGCAGGGTCCCGACACCTGTGCCCTCTCACACGTTGTGTTTTCTCCCTAAGCTGCACCGTGCAGCACCGTGTTAGGTCCCGCGGATCTGCTCCTGGGCCACATCTGGCTCCGTCTGGATTGTTGCTGAATTCAGTTTGCTGTCCTAGAACAAGGCAGCAGGAGGGGAGAACAGCTTTTGAGTGTCTTTAATTAGGCAATAGGAAAAAACAAAGTCTGGCTGAAAATTACTATTAGAAGCTTGGCCGACGGCAACACAGTACCGTCTCCCTGAATTCTGGTAAGTGATGGCCGATGATTTCAAGGACGTACCAAGGTGTGAAAAGCAAGAGCGGGAAGTCACCGCTCTCTGGAAAAGAAGCTGGTTTTCATCTGCCGTGCCTGCCTGTCCCAAACATGCCCTTTTCCCTTTTTTAAATTTTGTTTTTCCCAATCAGGAATTCAATGTGGAAAACACACCCTTTTTCTTAAACAGATCTTTAATGCTGGGAGACAGGTTAAAAAAAAACAGGTCATATGCAGTGGCTCAGGCCTGTAATCCCAGCACTTTGGGAGGCCGAGGCGGGCGGATCACGAGGGCAGGATATCGAGACCATCCTGGCTAACACGGTGAAACCCCATCCCTACTAAAAATACAAAAAACTAGCCGGGCGAGGTGGCAGGCGCCTGTAGTCCCAGCTACTTGGGAGGCTGAGGCAGGAGAATGGCGTGAACCCGGGAGGCGGAGCTTGCAGTGAGCTGAGATCCGGCCACTGCACTCCAGCCTGGGCGACAGAGCGAGACTCCGTCTCAATAATAATAAAAAAAAAACCACCCTCATCTCTGTTGTGAGAACGGGCAGATGGGATCCGGAAGTCACTGTGGTAAACACACACTTGGGAACCCCAGGGTGGCGTTTTCACAGCCCCCGGCCTCCACCTGCTGGGCCTGGTTTTCCTGGCTGCTGGAGGAAGCCCTTGAATATGCCACAGCTGGTGCTGAACCTGCTTCCAATTAGCAGCAGGAGTCTGGCGGGATTGTGGAGCCGCTTGGTGGGGATTATCATGCCCCCGCTTCACCGGAACCAGTGACCTTTACGACCTCTCACTGTCGACCCCTGACACTCAGAAGCGATTCTTCCCAAACGTTTCCCGCAGAGTCGTCACCGTATAAACCTGAACCTTTGGAGTAAAACTTCCCCGGGGATCTTAAGGAAGCTACAAATCCACTCTAAAAGGGGAATTCTGGTGTCGAGAATCCAGGTGCAATGACTAAGGGCAACCCCCTCGCTGGACTTTGTTCCTTCTGCCCTAAAGGTAGAAGGAACTAAGAGAACCCACCTTTCCTCCGAGGCCATCACGATACAGGGCACGGACAGAAATCCTGCCATCTCCCACATTCAGGTCAGCCACATTCGTCCCACCCACCCCGACCTCTAAGGGAGACACTGGCAGGGTTCCCAGAGAAGCCCTGAGCCCTGGGACGAGCTGGGATTAAGGGGCTCCCACACTTGCCCCATTCTTCACAAGGAGACCCGTGCGTGATTCCTCCTGATTTCCCAACCAGCTTTCTCAGACTTCAGAGGACTCGGCTCCCCTGGAGGGAGGAAATGGGCAAGAATGTTCACAACAAGGTACATGATCTGAGGATTCGCCCTCCGTCCAGGGCCAAGTCGAACCAGGAGAGACGGTGGCCAGCGCTCCAGGAGGGACCTGCCTCTGCCACTGTCACCCAGATGGGCTTCCTGGCTGCTGGAAACCAGGAAGATGCGATGGATGCTACATCCTGGGGGTCTCAGAACTCCTGGGACACAGCTCCCAGCTACCAGGTGTCCTCCGCTGCCCACCCGGATAGACCACAGCACAAAAGACTTTTGTTATTAAGGACAGCAAAGGCCCAGCAGTGGGTAAGGTCCAGAGATGCCTGCTTTATTTCCTACTGGGTGATCGCATTTCAGGCTGGTAACGTCACATAACGTCTAATCGCCAACTCACTGTACGCCTCTGAACTACAAATCAACAATCCGATTCAGCAAGGAACAACAGTGTCAACAGCTCATGAGGGGGTGGGGACTGGGTTTTCCACATCAGTGGTCTTGGTTGGCAGAGTGCTGAGTGGGGCCAAGGGTAAGGCCCAGGGTGGTTTCAAGTCCCTGACACCTGAGTGAGCGAGGCTAAAAGGCTCGGCCGAAGCCGTCCGTCCCCAGTCCTGAGAACAGAGTCGTTTGTTTCTCTTTCGGTGGTCAAGTCAGCCCAAGTAAGAGGCCAACAACCTACCTGGGCCTAGCAAAGGCGATACAAGGTCCACTCGTGGCTGACACGCCCTCCACCCTCACTCCACCCTAGGGCACAGCTCCTTCTGCTGGTGCTTAGGAAAAGGCGAGGCTTCTGGTAATTTCTCATCTTTGTAGTTCTGCTTTGAAAAGGGGGCCGGGTGCGGTGGCTCACGCCTGTAATCCCAGCACTTTGGGAGGCCAAGGCAGGTGGATCACCTGAGGTCAGGAGTTTGAGACCAGCCTGACCAACATGGTGAAACCCTGCCTCTACTAAAAATACAAAAATTAGCCAGGTCCAGTGGCGCTCGCCTGTGATCCCAGGTACTCCAGAGACTGAGGCAGAAGAATCACTCGAACCTTGGGGGCGGAGGTTGCAGTGAGCCGAGATCATGCCACTGCACTCCAGCCTGGGCGACAGAGCAAGACTCCATCTCAAAAGAAAAAAGAAAAAAGGCAATGGCAGGGGTGATCAAATGTGGGCGTGGGCACCTCACCAGAGATCAGGGCCTCGGGCACAGAGCTGGGTGGAGTCAGAGGTCTGTGCTGGTTCAGAGGTGCCCCTCCAAGGACTCAGGACTAAGTTTCTTGGGAAGATGCCCAAAGAGAAGGATTCATTATCAGAATTTCAAGATGGTGGGAGCTCTTCGTATAAGCAGGCAGAGACTTCAAGGTCAAGGAAGAAAAGAATGAGGAGCTCTCATCAGGAGGCGGGAGCTCCATAAAAATTAGCCGTTACTATACGAACCATTACCTTAGCTACATTTTTTTCTCTCACCCAAAAAACCTCCACAAGCTTCCTTTTGCGTTTGGAGATCCCCTGCCTGAGAACACACGCGTGGGCTGCTTTTCTCTCAGACCGAGAAAGACTGTGTCGCTTAAGAAAGGATGTTCTCACCGCAGCTCTAAGCTGAGGCCCACTGAGGCTCAGGCCCTTTCTCAGCTCTGCCTCCACACAGGTGTCCCCCGGAGGTTCCCCTCTGGCCGTCCGGGGCTCTGTGGGTGCCGATGCCCGAGTCCCGGCCCGAGCGGGAGCCACTGGCTCTCCACGCTCACTCTGCCCTGGAACACCCTGGCAAATCTTTCACCAAAAGCAAGTGACTTTGCGAGAGTGACGCAGCCCCCACTCTGGCCGGGCCATGCCCCCAGCCACCCCACGCTCCCAAACACGGTGGATTCTGCCGCTGCTGGATTCCGCACCCCAGGGCGCTGGCTGAGGAGTTTAATGCAGAAACAAGGCACCACAGAGAGGCTGGACACTTGGGTGGTGTGATTCGGGGCACGCTGGGTAAGTCCGAGGGCGGAGGGAAGGAGGGGGAGGAGGAGGAGAAGGCTGAGTTTTAAATAACGTCTCAGGAGGCCGGAGCCACGCTAGATGGGCTCCGGTTTGAGCTTCTCTGCTAGGAAGTCATTCACAAAGGCCTCCACGATGGCGGGGGTGATCTCCTCCACGTCCATCACGTACTTGGCCCGGGCTGACATGTCCAGGATGGTGAGCAAAGGGGCCGCCTCAGGCAGGTTGGTGTAATCTCGCAGGGAGTCAGTCATGTCATCCTGAAGTCGTCAGGAGGGAGAGAAAACCAAGACAGTTTAAAGAAGGGAGCGGGAGAGTCCCTGGGCCCAGTCTCCCCGGGTGTGGTAGCTCCGGGGGCTCCCAGCACGGACATGGGAAGCACGGAACCCTGCCCTGCCATCGGGAGGAACGAGCTGCTTTGTAAAATTCTCTCTTGGCATCCGCCCCCCAAAACCACGAGGTATGTAATCTGTATTTAATCATTTATGTATTTATTACCATAAACGCCATTTTCACACGTCCTCAGCATTTTAGAAATGTCATGTCCTTTTTTTGTTTTTAAGATGAAGTCTTCCTCTGTCACCCAGGCTGGAGTGCAATGGCACGATCTCCGCTCACTGCAACCTCCGCTTCCTGGGTTTAAGCGATTCTCCTGCCTCGGCCTCCTGAGTAGCTGGGACTACAGGTGCCTACCACCACGCCCAGCTAATTTTTTACATTTTTAGTAGAGACAGGGTTTCACCATGTTGGCCAGGCTGGTCTCGAACTCCTGACCTCAGGTGATCCACCCACCTCGGCCTCCCAAAGTGCTGGGATTACAGGCGTGAGCCACCGCGCCCGGCCTAGAAATGTCATAGCCTCCGACTGTTTATTCTTGTAACCAACTGTCAATGATTTGCGGCCCACTGTGGGTTATCTGAGGCCAATCTGGACTTCAGCTCTGGAATGTTTTTGAACAGAGACAGCTCACTGTGCTCCCACCGCCCGCCCCTGCCGTGGTTTCGGGCAGGATGCACAGCCAGCCAGTTCACAAGACAGGGCTACCTAAGCCCTGTGGAAGCTGACACTGCCTCACTGCTTATCTGAGAAGGAAGCTGGTACTGGATCCTACACTCCCGGCAGCTGTCCTGGTGAATTTCCCTAATGTCAGATACAGCCTCACGCAGATACCAAGGCGAACACAGAAATCCGAAGACAAGGAGAAAGGATTTGTAAGGGAGCTACTTTTTTTTTTGGGTGGGGGGGAGCTAGAATCTCTTTCTGTCGCCCCAGCTGGAGTGCAGTGAGGCAATCGTAGCTCACTGCAGCCTCCATCTCCTGGGCTTAAGCGATCCTCCCTCCTCAGCCTCCTGAGTAGCTGGGACTCTGAGCAGGCAGCACCATGCCGGGCTAATTTGTATATATTTTTTGGAGACACAAAGCCCAGCCCAGCCAGGCGTGAGCCAGCGAACAGCCTCGGAGGAGCCCCTGGTCCACTCTGAACCTCGCCTCCCTCCCCTGTGAAACAGGACGGCGACTGTGTTCCCAGCCAGAGAGCCAGGGGCCAAGGAGACAGCCCAGGTGGAATACGCGGACCTGGCCTGGTGTACAGAAAACCTGCAGATGCTCCTTCCAGGCCTGACGCCTCTCAAGGCCGCCCCCGCCCGAGCCCGGCCCTTGCAGTGCTGCAGCCATCTTTTCTCAGAGCCATTCTGCAGGGCTCAGAGCTCCCGCGTGTGGCGCAGCCTCCGGGGCTGGGCTTGGTGTGCAGTGGCTGCGGCCGCCCCAGGCAGAGCCTGCGAGCCTCTTTGTTCCCCTCCACCCCGGGCTGAGCAGGTGACTGGAGCCGCCTGGGAGGGACGCAGGGGCTGGGCAGGGCCAGCTGCTGAGGAGGTGATGAATGGGTGGTGCAGGGTGTCTGGCGGCCGCTGCCACCTGCCTCCTCCGTGCCTCTCCTGGGATCCGAACACAGCGTGAAATCAGCACCGGGCTCTGACCAACCGGAGGTACAGATGGGTGGACAGAGGGCAGGGGGTGAGGGCGGCCTCCAAAAGTGTCTGTCGGTCGGTGGGTGCGGTGGGGTGGGGA